ATGGTGGATGGGTGAAGGAGGTGAAGGTGGAAGAAGGTGTGAAGGTACTTCGTTATGGTGGATGGGTGAAGGAGGTGAAGGTGGAAGAAGGTATGAAGGTGCTTGGCTATGGTGGATGGGTAAAGGAGGTGAAGGTGGAAGACAGTGTGAAGATACTTGACTGTGGTGAATGGGAGAAGGAGGTGGAGGAGGAAGAAGGTGTGAAGGTACTTCGGTATGGTTGATGGGTGAAGGAGATGGAGGACGAAGAAGGTGTGAAGGTACTTGGCTATGGTGGATGGGTGAAGAAGGTGAAGGAGGAAGAAGGTTTGAAGGTACTTGGCTATGGTGGATGGGTAAAGGAGGTGGAGGAGGAAGAAGGTGTGAAGGTACTTGGCTATGGTGGATCCTAAGCTTCCGGTTTTTCCGTATTTGTGTTGTCTCAATGTCTTAACCATCGAAAAATCCAGACTTGCGAAATTCAGACTTGCAACAGACACACTTTGCAGAACACAAACTTGCAATAAAAACTCAGACTATGAAAAACTCATATTTGTGACTTTCTGGTTTTTGACAATTTTGCTAGAGGAGGGAGAGACGAAAACTCAGATTTGTGTTTGGTGGCGTAAACGAAGTCAGATGGCCACGTAACTTCATCATCCCTTTGTCTATACCCTAGTGATGACCCTCTTAAAATTTGGCCTGATTCCGTCGTCGTTTGTCCTTACTTGTCTGTTTCGGACACCGGTCGAGGTTGTAAGTGAATAGTTCGGGGAAATCTACTTTCCATTTTTGTGAAAAATTGACTCTGATGGCTTGGTGGTTTTGCAGACCGTCTATATATGCCTAGGATATGAGTTTTTTTCGGTCCCAGCCCCCATATCCCCTGTTTGGTGGAGTTGGTTTTTCGGCACCCCGAGCCTCATTGGCCCATTGGATATTTCGGCCCGTTTTTTGCCCCCGGTACTTGGACGGTAGTTTCTCAAGCAATAGTAGTAGTCAAGAGTTTGGCCAGCCATCAGCAGTAACAACGTCAGACACATTATCAGCAACAACAACAGCAGTGGCAGCAACAACAACTACAGTCTTCAATCTACTCCCCCCTTTTCACCGTGTTCACGTAGAGCACAGAGAGCAAAGCGACGCTCAAATAAAGCACGGGGAGGATAATTGTACCATCAAATAGAGCACATGGGGGTAAGATGTCACATATACAGAGTGTTTACTTTGCACATACGGCTATGTCAACAAAATTGACAAAGATAGAAGTTGCGCTTTACATTCAAGTGAAAAGATTGACAAGCTCGGAAGCACAAAAAACAAAGTGGTGAAATGCTCTGAAGTGAGAAAATTAACAAAGCATACACACATAATGACATCATTACTAAGAAGAGCAAGAAATGAAATTGTGATTTACACCCAAGTGAGAATATGACCAAAAAGTGAAGGAAGGGTGAGTGAAACTCACTCTACATGAAAACTCAAAATTGAAAGTGGCGAAATACTTTGAAGTGAGAAAATGGACAAAGCATGAGCATATGATGACATCAACACTAAGAAGAGCAACAAAGGGAGTGGCGATTTACACCTAAATGAGAAGATGACCAATAAGTGGAAAAATATATTTGAGTGAAAAACTGGGTTACATGGAGGTAATCTCTAGTGGACAAGGTACTTTCTACCTTTCCAGGTTTAGTATGTTAGTTGTGGAGGGAAATAAAAAGGAGGAGAGAGAAAAGGAAGATGATGGAACAAAATGAAGAATAATTAGGAGAAAAACAAAGGGAAAAAGAAAGGGAAAAAGAAGAAAAAGAAGAAGAAAACTTTTCACTCACCTCCTCTAGTATTTTAAGATGGAGATGTCAATCTTGGTGAAGTTTTTTCTCTTCTTTGCACACTTGTTGCCCAGCTATGACTTTCTTCTTCTTCAAGTCATTATCTTCTTCCTCCCTCAGTCTCTTCCGGGTTATGGCAAGCTCCTACCACTAAGGCTATGGAGTTCTCCCCTCTATGAGAGCTAAGTGGATCCCCACTAGCCTTTCTTTCTCCCTCACAGCATCGGGGCTATGGCGGATCACTCTCCTAGGCTGACACAGCTTCCACAGGCCTCAATAGTGTTACATGCATCGCGTGCACACACGGGTTATTTGGCAGGCCCGACGACCATTTTGCAGCCCTGCGTTCGTTCAGGCTAAAAGCCTGAACTTCAGGCCGAAAACCTGAATTTCAGGCCGAAAGCCTGAAATCCAGGGCTTACAGACCCCCTGTCGGTTCAGGCCAAAAGCCTGAAGTTCAGGGCTTATCCCTGGTCGTTTCAGACTAAAAATGGCAACAGCCTTTTTAGCCTGAAACGAAGGGTCATTTTCGGTCATTCATAGTCTGTTTCCCACGCCAGCCTCAAGCAGGCTGCTGCACGCCAGCCCCTGGTACACTTCGGCATTCGCAAGAGCTGCCTCCTCGGCCTGACTGGCCTCCAGTAGTCAGGAGGCAGACTGAGGTAGTACATAGGACTTCCCAAGCACTTCCGAGGTAGGCAGTCGGGCAATTGTAGTCTTTAGGATTCGGGTGCAATACTTTGGAGGGAGCGCTGCGTTGTAGTAGTGGTAGCGTTAGGTAGTAGTCTTCAGCATTAGGCGCAGTAGGTAGCTAAAGTCTCCAGTTCTGGACGCCATAGCTAGGTAGTACTAGAAAGAGAGAGAGAGAGAGAGAGAGTTTAGGCGGAGGCGAGAGGTACCTACCTGCAGCGCCGTTGCTCCAGCTTCGTCTTCGAGGTACCTGCAGCACAGCGCCAACATCACAGGTTAGTATCTG